TTCCCCTCCTCATCCTCCTTTTCCTCCTCCTCCTCCTCCTCCTCCTCCCCTTCCTCATCATTCCCCTCCTCATCCTCCTCTTCCTCCTCCTTCTCCTCTTCCTCCTCCTACTCTTCCTCCTTCTTCTCTTCTTTATCCTCATCCTCATCCTTGTCCTCCTAATTCTCCTCTTCCTCTTCCTCCCCCTCCTTCTTTCTTCTTCTAATTTTTTTAAATTCCCAGTCTGTGATTTTTATCTTTAGAAGCTCAGTTAGGTGTTCATTTTCTGTAGGGCACAGGTGAAGTTACACTGGAGCTGTAGAAGAGGAGGAAAAATGATGGAAAACCTCTTGGTGTCTGAGAATGGAAAAGGTCCAACGTCAGGACCTGGGTGCCAGGACCACGTGTGGAGTCAAGACCTCAGCTGCCCATCAAAGGAGACTGGAAGTCCATTCCTGAGAATCAGCCATCCCAAGACTAGAAATTGCAAATGTTAGAAACCTCCTTAGCATAAGCTCAGCAACAGTGGGAAAGCAACTGCCATGCACAACCTGGGACCTCAGGGTGAGGGTGAGAGATTGTGGCAACCACTCAGAGAAGCTTGGAACTGCTGCCCAACATGGAGAAGTTGTCCATCTTCCAATCTGCTATACCATCAGCCTACACAGAGGAATGTGGAACTGTGACTCACAGTAAGAGACTACAGTTCCGGGACCACAGCTCCAGCGCATAGGAATTTTTTTGCCTTTATTTTACTAGGAAAAGAATTTTATTAACTTTTTTCAAACTTTATTCCCAGGCTTCTTCAGCTTAATTTGCTGCAAAGAATAAATTGTGTATAAGCAAAAACTGAAAAGAGCTGCAGTGTCCAGGGAGCTGGGGCTTAAAAATATTAGATCTAGATTTATCAGATCCATAAACAAAAGCATTTTTAAAAGCAGCATAATAGAAAAGAGCAGCTCCCAGTAACTTCTTCAAGGTTTATCTTCTTCAGAAGTTGACTCAATTCAGTTTGCCTCATTCTTAGAAACCACATCAAAATTCGCCACAAGATCTTGAACTTCATCATCATCATCTTCTCTAGGAGCCCTTGCTTTTCCACCCACAGGTTGTTTAGGAAGAGCTTCAGCAGTCTCCTTAAACTAGTCAGACAGTCGGCACCAAGCTGGTTTAGGGTGCTGGGAAGCCTTTCTGTCAGCTGCTTTGTTTCAGCATGGCCTCTAATGGTGAAAGTGTTTGCTGCCAGATAGGCCTGAACTTTAGGCATCCAGGAGGAGGGCCTCTGCATACTGGTCCACACTGTCCATCAGGTATAAAGGCAGGTAGATGCTAACAAAAATGGTGTTATGAAATCACAGAGGCTTAGAGCTCATCTTTATAAAACAAGGCCCTTATATGGCTTTAAGAGAGCCCTGGTGCTTCTAGGAAAATCAGTCTAAAATTATCAGCAAGAACGTAACACTACTCTGACAACTGATAACAGTCTTTATTTTCCTGGTGTCCATGGTTCACTATCCTGCTCATGGCCTTAGCTGGGCCTCTAGTTCTCCTATTCCTGGCCCTGACAGGTGGATCTTGTCTGATCAATTTCCTGACTAGCTATATTAAACAAAGAGTAAATACAGTAAAAATCATCATCCTAAAACAAATCATCGTCCTAGAACAGTCTAGGATTTGACTCATGCCCATAGAGCCAGTGAGGAATGTGCTATGGCACCTTCTTGACCATAGCTATGCCATGTTAAAGTTTAGGCTAACTCTAGTCTCTGAAATTATCAGACAGTCGGCCCAGGGCATGGGAATGAACACACATCAAAAGGACCCCAGTTGTCTTGGGAACAGGTAAGTGTGTTCTGGAATGTACCTGCTAACTGCCAATTTATAATTTCTGTAGGTTATGCTTGGCTTGCTTCTGTGAAATAGTAATTGTTACTTAATAGAATAGAAATTGTTAAGGGGGCTTTGCACGTGAAAGCTTGGGAACTTAAAACTTTTAACCCTTGGTTATGGTTTCTTTGTATAAAATCTTACCCTAGAGATGGCTCAGGTTCCAACACCCTTGTGTAATCACTGGTCAACAAAGACTTTCATTTGGCTAAAGTTTGTCTGAGTGGTCTTCTCTGGTGAACCACCTCACAACAATCACAGCAACAGAAAAGTAACTAATACAGACAACCAATGCTGGTAGGGATATACAGAAAAAGGATCCCTTATTCACTGTTGGTTGGAGTGCTAACTAGTGCAGCAACTATAGAAATCAGTGTTGAGGTTCCTCAAAGAGCTAGAAACAGAACTAACTCCAGATGACCCAGATATACCACTCCTGGGCATATAGCCAAAGGTCTATATCCTACTAGAGAGATAATCACTTATCTGTTTTCACTGCTACTCTAGTCACAATTGCTAGGAAACGGAATCAGCCTAGATATCAATCAACTGGTGACTGGATAATGCAAATGTTGTACATATACACAATGGAGTTTTCTTCAGCCATAAAGAAAAATGAAATAAATTGCAGGTAAAATAATGAAACTGGAAGATTTATTTATTCTTTTTTCTTACAGTCATGAACTTAAGAGATAGTTTCCATTACCTAATGACTACTGTATTTGAAAATGAAGACTGTTAAACCTAGACAACATCACAATAAGAGCCAAAAAAAAAAAAGTTAATATCTCAAATGGTAAACAGATGATCCAGGGTTAACACTATGAGGTAAAAAAATGACCAGAAGAGTTAAGGGCTTTACGTTTACATTTTAGAGAAAATATACTTTGTCTTTTGAAGAATTCTACTGTTTAAGTACTAGAAGCTTAAAAATAGTACTTGGAAATTTAAGGTTAGTTCTGACACTCATTAGGAATGACAGAAATACCTAATTATGACCCAGAGAATGAATAAAGTGAGCACTTTATTACAATAATAAAATATATTTCCCATATCATTCCCATTTCTTCTTGTAAGAAACAAAAGGCTAAGGTGATACAAATAAAAATTTTAATCTGTAAAGATATAAGATAATGGTAATAACAATACAAAATATATAACCTGTACAATTTAGAGAGGACACAGACTTCAAAAAATATTTTTATACATTTATTGGTATGTGTGTGCACATGTGCAGGCACACACACGTGTGTGTCCATGTGCCACAGCACATAGGATGGTCAAAGGACAACTTCTGGCCATGTGGGTTCTGGAGACTGGACGCTGTCTTCAGGTTTGGTGGCAAATACCTCTACCACTGACCCATATTGCCAGCTCATAGGCTTTCAAAATAAAATCCCAGAATAGTTCAGCTAAGAAATTTAGGTGCTAACAAAAAAGCTTAAGAAAAAGGAAATAACATTTCTTCAAGAGCTAAAACAGTGTTCTGTGGAATTACTGATGGCTTTGACTTAAACTATAATTATTTACATAATATATTTCAGGATGTTAAGTCCATAAGAAAAATTAGGTATGTCTTTTGTCTGACACTGACTCATTCACAAATGAGATATTAAGTTCTATATTGTAAAGCAATTCTTGTGTCAGTACCTGATATTAGTTGATAATCTTGAAAAGTACAATTTTTGTCAGACTATTATCTGGGCCCCAGAAAAACTTTGCTTTTTGTCTAATGATTAACAACTTTAAGGAAAAAAAAATTAGAAAATATAAAATGACAATCTTGTAAATAGAAAGGAAGTAGAAACACTATTTTTATGAAAGCACCAGGGTTTGAAGAACACTAAATGCTTTCACTGCCTCTACTTTCACTTTGTAGAATTTATGAAATCATGATCTGGTTTCTTGGTTACACTGATTAAATTAATATAGTCATTCAATCTGTTTACTTATATATATCAGTTCATATTTGTAAATACTTTATATTTCTAGTTACTTTAAAGCATTACTGAGTACTCATGGCTAGTAATAATCACTGAACATACACACATTTTCTGTATGAAGTCTTTGAACTAAATTATGACTAGAGGTAATAGAAATCACACATTTTACCTAACAATTTACTTCAATTTTGTATCAATTAAAGGGGAGTATTACTAAATAAGATGAAAAATGTACACTTAAAAGGTGAAGAATATATTTTCTTATAAACTATGTCTTTGAAATAGGATAAAAAATAAAGTATTTTACTTTATTTGAGGGCTTGAACAACAAAAATGCATGAACATTTTCACCACCATTTAAAAAAATTATCAATTAAATGAGTTATAGCTTAGAGAATAATTTTCTTTCAGCTCTTGACTGTTAACTATCAATAGTAGAGAAGATTTAAATGAGAGACCTAGCACATTGAACATATGGTATGAGATACATTTCATTAAGTCATATTTAATAGTAAATTTGTTATAGCCAAGCTGAATTTCAGTCCTGACCTATGAGAATAGATTGTATAAAAGATATATAAATAAACAGGAATAGGTGTAAGATAATATGGCAGTTGCAAACATTTCACAAAGCAACACATTGTCACTATAGCAGGAATTCATACATAGTCTCCAAAGACAAGTAAAGATGAACAAACAAGAAGGGAGCAAGATTCTTACCTGGGCAACATATGCCGAGTCTGATATGAGAGAGAAACTGTCCATTTCTCCTCGGCTGATGTAAGTCTGAAGTAAAATGTTTATTTTCCCGTAACTATTTTCCACACCTCCAGGAGCTGAGAGTTCACAGAAATTGTTTAACAAGGCATCTAACTCTTCTATTTCCTCTTCTCTCACCTAGAAAGGTTAATGTTTTTATAGCAATATTTGGGGTCATTTACTGAAATTTTTCATGATGAAATTAAACCACGTTGTATGATTTATAAAACATTTTATTTATAATTTTTATGTGTATGAGTGTTCTGCCTACACTGTATTTAAGTGCACCCTATTGTGCAATGACTGCAGAGGTCAGAAGAGGCTGTCAGATGCCCTAGAACTGAAGTTACAGAGGAATGTTATCCACCATGTGGGTGCTGGGAACCAAACCTACGTCTTCAGCAAGAACAACCAGTGTTCTTAATTGCTGAGCCATCTCTCTAGCTTAACACATGGCATGTTTTAAAAAGCTTCCATTTAATATGATGCAACATTTTTCTTTTTTATAGCTAAAATCATTAATTTTCCCACAGGTAGTTATAAACTATAATATGAAATTCTTGAAGCTGATACAATTACATTTTGTTATTCATAACTATTATTAAAGCTGCCATTAACATATAAAATGTGTTATTCTACAAAAATTATATGACTTTACCATGTTTCAAATGATGAGAGTTCATTTTTATTCGATCAGAGTTAAACCTCTACGCAACTGGATTAGGACAAACTTGATTATCTTCAAACACATTCATTATAGCCATATATTTTTATATGGCATAACACATTCAATGCTTAAAGTTGTGAAGTACTATGTTTCAAAATGTTAAAGTTTTTTTTCTGTTAATGGTATTAACTTACAACCTTGTGTAGAAATATTCACATCTAAGTCTGAATCATGCATGTATTTTATACTGTTTTCACTGAACTTTATCTTTTAGTAGCCCCAAGTCATCACTACAAACTACAAAATTACTTGATTTGGAGCAAAAGCAAAGAATGATTTCAGGTATGATATAATATTAGGATTATGGACACTGTTGATAAATTGAAGAACACTAATGCTCTAAATGTATAATGTGCCATTTAGTTCATATTGTATCAGAAGTGGCAAATAATTATAAGCTCCAATAAATGAATGGATGTATTTATGTCATATACATTTCATTCTAACCTCAAATAATCTTACCTTAATTTGATCAAATTCTTCAGCTTTGGAGACAATAGCAAAGATATCGCCTTCTGTTTTGTGTGCATCAAAGAGTTCATTAAATGTCTATCAAGATAAATATCATATTTGATTAACATTGAAAGTCCAATGAGGTACTTTACATTCTAACATTTCTATAAATCACATACTTAAGAGAACGTTGGAGCCTGGTCATCACTTGCTAAAATAATACTAACTCTGCCTCTTCTAGTAGTTATAGGTTGCCAATAGTTTCTCGGCTGAAGGTGGGGCTTCTTGCCCATTTCCCCACTTGTATCCATGTTTTTGTCTGGTTTGAGTTTGCATAGGTCTTGCGCGTACTGTCACCATTTGCTCTAAGTTCTTATGTGCAACTTCCCAGCTACCGGGAAAACTCTGTACTCAGTAGTTCTTAACAAGATGCAAATAACTTTTCCATTTTTTATTAAAAAATATCACTAAGCTATCACTTCCCACTTAAAACATCCTGGCATTCATTCCAAAGAACTCACTAATATACTTTAAATGTTTTAGGAGTGGGTATATCTACTACTTGTGATATAGTCACTGACTGGTTTGGCAAAGGTTCTGGACGATCTAAAGCCTTATTTTTATTTTGTCTTTACTGAGGTATATTGCTGAATTAGTATAAATTGAATATATATTTTTGTACTAGTTGCTTTTGTTATTTTGCATTATTAATACACTTTGAAGACCATAAGTTTTAAAGTTGTGTTTTAAATGAACATGTTGCTGTATTTGCTCCATTTAGTGTCATACCTCGATGGTGCTGTATTTAATGTAGTAGTGGCTGGCAGTTCTCCCCAAATCAGTGGAGGAAAAGTATCCAGTCCGTTCTTCAAAACGAATCATCTTAGCTTTGTCCAATTTTTGGCCAACTTCAATAACTAATTGTTCTCGATGCTTTCTTAATGTTGGGTCAATCTAAAGAAAAGAAATATAAACCCTCAAGTTGTTTGGAGAGTCATTGCTTATAAACATAGACCTATTGATGGAAATAAAATAGTCTTCGGTAGTTTTAGTTGCACGATTTCTTTTTTAAAATTTTACTAAATTTTTTAATTTTTAAAAAATGTGTATGAGTGTATCGCCTGCATGTGTGTAAGTGCACCCACATCATGCAGTGCCCGCAGACGACAGAAGACAGCTTCAGATCCCCCAGAACTGCAGTTAGCTGCCAATGGGTGCTGGGATTCGAATCCTGGTCTTCTCCAAGAACAACTGCAAGCCATCTCTCCAGCCCCTAGTTACACTATTCCTTAAATAAAGCTTATATAAAAAAACAGCACATAAAACATGAAAATTAGCTCATTGTAACTCAGTACATGCTGACTAACCTTTCATATCCATGCTCTTGTCAGTCTCTGGTGATCATCATGATAGTCTCAATTTCTATGTTAACAACTTCTTTAGTTTTCATATGTGAATGACATCATGTGTTACTTGGTTTTCTGTGTCTGGCACGGTTAACATAATTCATTATCTCCAATTCCATTTATGTGGTCATAAATGACAACATTTCATTCTTTTTAATATTTTCTTTATTCATTCATCAGTTGAATGAACACATGTTGTGTTCATTTCTTTAGTATTGTGAATATTGTTGCAATGAACATGGGAGCACAGATTTTTTTTTAACATATCGATTTAATTTCTTATATATCTGTAGAGGTGTGTATGTGTGTGTGTGTGTGTGTGTGTGTGTGTTTGTGTGTGCATGCTCTGTAGTGAGATGTCTAGATGTCATAAGCTAATGGGAAAAAAAATTAAATAAAACTTGTCAATGCCAGGAATGGCCTCCAACTCTAGAAGCTTTTGAGCAGGTCTAGACCCTCAAACAATACTAGCCATTGCTCCTGCTCTTGGTTACCCACCAGAACTGGATGGTAAAACTATTGCTGAAGAAACGACATACATGGAGCTATAAAACAAAAAAGGAGAAATCAAGCTGATGAGGACTTCAGAGCCTCATCTCTACGTCCAGTGTTCATAGTGCTGGAAGGTGCTATCCTGTGAACAACTGTCCTGGCAAAATATAACTACCAGTGCAATAGTGGCACAAATATTATGGGAATAACTAACCACCCTTTAATTATTCATACCTTTAATTAAAGGTCTGCTTCCTAGGATGGAGCCCATATCTGACACTGATATCAGGCTTAGGGACCTGAAGCTAGGCACATAGGACATAGAGAGAACCTAATACTAGTTTTCTACTAGAATATTTAACCGCATTAAGTTGACTTTTAATGACTTATTGTTATACCAATAGACTACTCCATCTCTAAACTCTCACTAGAGAAATTTCCTTATGCAACAGATGGTGATTGAAACAGAAACTCACAATTGGTCAATGCTCAGAAAACAAGAGGGTACAGAGTGCTTATCCCTGAGTAGGACACCTATGGCAAACTTCTGCCTCCCAAAACTCAGGCATCACTGAAGAAGATGGGGTGGAAAGATTTTAAGAATCAGAGGTGATGGATGACCACAAAGAAAGTGTTTCCCAGTTAGAGTTACTCATATTTACTTAACAGCAATGGTGACAGCATGTACACATCTTATGCAACCTCAAAACAGACAAAATCCCAGTATAGACATGAGGAACTGGGTAAAAAGCTCGAATACCACCTAAGGAAAGTGTGGCAACAAATGGTTGCTGGGGAGGAAAGAGACAGTCGCTTTCAAGCATGGGACTCTTGGTAGGTTAACCAGACTCCAGTGGATGGACCCACACTGAAGGACATTTGGAAATAAAACTCTATAGGCCTTATTCTAGAGATAATAGAATAGATTAAATTGGGCAGGGGCTGGGATTGGAGAGATGGCTCATGAGTTAAGAGCACAGGATGCTTCTGCAGAGGCTGCTCTTGCAGAGCACCTAGATTTGATTCTCAGCACCCACATGGCACCTAACAACCACCTGTAACTCCAATTCCAAGGGAATCTGACACCCTCTTCTGACCTCCGTGGGAATTGCATGACACAGGTGCACTAACATACATTCAAGCAATACAGTCATAGATATAAAACAAAAATAATAATAAATAAAAATATTAAATTGGTTAGGGGAGCTAAACACAGGGGAGCATATCTAAATACCATCAAATTATACTGCATAAAAATCACAAAAGTTCAATTGTAGAACTCACTAACATCATAAATCTGCATATTCCCTTCTAGGATCTAAAGTACAAGCACTCGGAACATTTTATATTATAAATACTGGGGACTAGTTATAAGAAAAATTATCAATTCTTTCCTAGATTAGATTATGCCATTTTTCTTATCTATCAGTTTTTTTTTTTTTTCCCCTAGAAATGATGGTCTGTTGTAGTTTGTTTCTCCAATGCTGTGACAAAACACTCTGACCAATACCAACTTGGGGAGAAAAGGGTTTATACCAATATTTCTGTGAAATGTATACTGCATTCATTTTTTAAAAAAGACTTTATTTCGGATAGAAAGATGGCTCAGGGGTTAAGAGGGCTGGCTGCTCTTGTAGAGGACCTGGATGCAGTTCCTAGCACATGGAGGCTACTACAGAATTGCACATTTGGTCAGACACAGACAACCGAGAGATGTCCAATACTAGATGATACATCTACAGTTGAACCTGTACAACTAAAGCTCATGGAACACAGTGGAAGAAGGGATAGAGAGAAAACTAATGTATCCCTCAACAAGTAAAGCTTCCTTATACAACTGGCTAAGTTTTAAGGAATAGAAACTACAGTGTGTAGGATAGGATTCCTATGTGGAACCTCATCCACACACAGCTCAGGGACCATTGTGGAAGAGGGGGCAGAAAGACTGTAAGAGCCAGGGCTGGTCCAAAAACACAGGTAAGCAGAGGCTTCCAGACCACTGGAAGCTTCCACCTATGAACTTGTGGCAATGGTGGCATTGAGCACAGGACCCATATCAACTCAATTAAACAAGGGCCCAAAGGGGAGGAGATAACTAGGTGGGGGGCTGGCACTAGACTGAGAACTATTGGAGACTGATTGGGGCTGGGTGAGGGAGATTATGATTTACACACTAGATGGGCTCACTATACTCCAGTGAATGCATTTACACTGAAGGACATTTGGGTACAAATGCCTGAATGAATAGGACTTACATTTATGGTGGAATACATGAGGTTTGGTGGGGGGATGGAGGAAGCATGAATGAGGGAGGAGATCTAAATTTGATTAAGAACTGCTGTATGAAGTTACAAAAGCTCAATAAAAATAAACTATTTCATGTGTTAGCTTGTGCCTATAAATTTATGTTGGACAACAAAGGCAAAACACACAAATACACACACACACACACACACACACACGTTCAAACTCATTCTGTGATGGGGTCAGTGAAATGGCTCAGTGGGTAATGGAGAGAACTGACTCTTGCAAGTTGTCCTTTGATCTTCACACGTATGCCACAGCACGCCTCCCTCCCCCAATAAATAAATGTTTTCTTAAAAAAAAGAATTTTAAAAACTATAGTATGAACTGTGAAAATACATACCCTGGGAGAAAAGAAAAATCACTTTCTTCATACAGTATTCTTTATATTGTAAAACTATAAAACATGACGTGGTATTAACCTAGTACTTAAAAATCCAAATGATGTGTTAGCTTATTTCAAGATTTGAGATTCCTTAGCCCATGGAAATATATGTTATGTTTAGTTTATCCTTACCCCTCTGGGAATATTTTCACAATGTTCTCAATTAATCTCACAATGCCCCTATTTGTAATCGGAACAGCCAGCATTATATTGCTTAAAATGTATAACGTTAGAGACTATAACACACACACACACACACACACACACATATATATATATATATATAAACATCAAATTGGCTGTAAAATAAAACATCCGTTTGAAAATCAGTACATAGTTCAACTGGGAAAAAGAAAGGTAGTAGAGCCCTTTCTAGGGAAAATAAAGTACGAAAACCAAATGGTGTGAGAGTAACAGCCTCAGACCTAGTTGCTGCTTGTTTAGCCCCCTAGACTATAGCACTCCTAACCTGTAAGTTTGCAAAATACACTGCATAGGAAAAAGGAAAGAAAATTCCCAAGAGAATGGCAACTACTTTGATAACGCAATGAAATAGCTGTTAGCAGTAAGTGGAAAAACACTACAATTTTGAGTTAAATTTATCTTAATAATTTTGACTTCATATAAGTTAATATTCATGGTGATGGTGAAATAATGATCTCATTAGACTATGACTAGATTTTATCTGTAATTAGGATGCACTTAAGAGTACATAAGCAGAGTTAAAGAGAAGACAAGATCATATGGGTCTCTCAGTCACATGGGCCACACAACTATCAAGTTCATAGTGAGAACTGCTAACAGATGTATCCGATTCTCAATCTGTACCTATGCACTGAATCACGAAACCAATCCTGGCTTCCAAAGAGTTATGATAACTCATCACTGACATCGATTAATTTCAGAATACAGGATAAAAGGGACTTGATAAGAGGAACAGATTATACATAACACAAACCAATCACCAAAATGGTCATAAATTTGTCTAGTTTATTCCCAAACTAAATATATCAGTTTAAAAAGCAGCACAGTAAAATATCAATAAAGTGGATATATATATATA